CGCGGAGCGGCTGGGCCTGAGAGCCATGGCCGCTGAGCCTGCGCATCCGGAGCCTGTGCTCCGCAACAGGAGAGGCCACAACGGTGAGAGGCCCGCGTACCGCAAAAAAAAATTCACATTTCTACACTCCAATTTTTTATTCTAGGGCTGCTTTGTCTTCAAGGTTCACATTAGGATCTGCCAACAGGGCCACTAGAAGGAGACCGTAAGCCAGGGGAAGAGATAGAAAACTCTTTCATGATTTCCTGTTTTCTTCTGTCCAACCAACCCAGCAATGTCTCTTCATCCTGGCAGTTGGTTTGACTTTGCAGTTTATTTTCACACTCACAGAACCAGTCTCATCCTGTCCTTCAGAGGCGCAAGCACTAGCTGACCAACCCCTATTCCTGGGCAGTCTGGGGATAGAGACTCTCCTGTGAACTTCCGGGGTGTCAGAACCAACTGCATAGCCCCCACTTGTCAGAAGGCTAGGACCGAGCTCTGCAATCCCCTCTTTTTCCTCTAGGCTCTGGAGGAACCATCATCAGTCAGGGCCGAGCAGGCTTCTCTATGTCACCTATATGGGAGACACCTCCATAGGTACCTTCTGAGATATGAATACCAGCTGGTCAGTGCTCACTCCTCAGACATCTGGACTCTAAGACTTTGGGTTTTAATGACTCTAACCTCTCCCTTTACATCCCCAGGGCTAGAAATAGCTTCTTTCTGCAGGTTGTTTTTTCCTCTTTAATCCTTAGTGTTCTTGTTTTGTCATTTCAGATCTCAAATATCTGGTTAACAACTCTTTACACTACATTTTTTTCTGCTAAAATAATGGATATGGTTTTATTCCTGGCTGGACCCTGTCTGATATGTAAGATATAAAATAATGGCTCAATTTCTGTCTTTATTTCTGTTCTAATATTCAACTTCCAAAACGTATAGTTTTACTTTTGCAGAACTTGAAGTACAGAAATAATCACAGTTGCCACAGCAAATTTGGTATGTGAATAGCGCTTTAAAAAATGTTTTCATATATATTATCCCATTAGATGCCTCTTCTTGCATTTATTCAATGAAGTTTTATTAAGCAACTGTTGTCTATAAGGCACAGAGCCAGGTATTGAAAATACACAAATAATTTCTAAGCAGTTAAGGGTATATTTATATCTCTTAAAGGAAGTTTTATAAAGCCTCTCATGGGAGAAGACTAGGGACCACCCAAGAAAGAATTATAGAGACTCAATTTCTGCCATCTAGAAAGTTTTTTAAAATATCCATATTTATTAGGTAAAATCATCAATTTAATAATATAGATGACACATAAAGGAAAAAGGACAGTGCCCAGCACATAGTAAGCGTTCAACAAAACACAGTTATAACCAAGAAGAATTAAGAAATAGAGTGAATTTACTTCAAGGACTTCATAAATGATCAATAATGACAATAACGACAATGCATTGCTTCGTCGTGGGGCTTTAGATTTACATGCAGTGATCCCTACAGAATCCCTGTGAGGTAAGGCAGGTGTCATGATTCTCATTTATTGATGAGGAAATAGACACTCCCAAAGGGTGAATGACTTTGCAGCATTATGCAACCAGGAGGTGGCAGCACCAGGTAGCAGATGCCCTGGCCGTCAGTGCCCACTGCCAATCCTGCAACGATCCAGCCCCTTCTATTTTTTCTTTCTTTTTTTTTTTTTTATGGTACGCGGGCCTCTTACTGTTGTGGCCTCTCCCGTTGCGGAGCACAGGCTCCGGACGCGCAGGCTCAGCGGCCATGGCTACGGGCCCAGCCGCTCCGCGGCATGTGAGATCTTCCCGGACCGGGGCACGAACCCGTTTTCCCTGCATCGGCAGGCGGACTCTCAACCACTGCGCCACCAGTGAAGCCCCAGCCCCTTCTTTAGGGCCCCCATCACCTCCCGGTTCCTCAAACTATAAATGAGAGGGTTGAGCATAGGAGTAAGGACTGTGTAGAAGATAAGAGACCACATTGTCATGGCTTGGGGCCTGGTAGCGCCTGGGTCTCAGATAGATAAACATGGCTGCCCCATAGAAGAGGGACACAGCTGTCAGGTGGGAAGAACAGGTGGCCAGAGCCTTTTTATGGGCCTGAGCAGTGTGCATGGGGAGCGCAGATCCCCGGAGGTGAGCATAAGAGGCCACGATGACGGAGAAGGGCAGGAGCAGCATGAATACATAGCAAGCAAAAAACAGTATCAGGGCTTTCCTGGTGGCGCAGTGATTGAGAGTCCGCCTGCCGATGCAGGGGACACGGGTTCGTGCCCCGGTCCGGGAAGATCCCACATGCCGCGGAGCGGCTGGGTCCGTGAGCCATGGCCGCTGAGCCTGCGCGTCCGGAGCCTGAGCTCCGCAACCGGAGAGGCCACAACAGTGAGAGGCCCGCGTACCGCAAAAAACAAATAAACAACAAAAAAACAGGGTATCAAAAATGGATGTGTCTGCACAGGCCAGTTTCAATAAAGCTGGCACCTCACAGAAGAAGTAGTCCACATTCCTTGAGCCACAGTAGGGTAAGCTCGTGGCTCCTGCCATCTGCATCATTCCATCTATTATCCCCAAAGTCCATGAACTCCCAGCAGTCTGGAGACAGACCCTCTGACTCATGAGGATGGGATAGTGAAGTGGGTGGCTAACGGCCACATAGCAGTCATAAGCCATGAGTCCCGGCAAGAGCCCTTCAGATCCCACAAGAGAGATGAAAAAAACAATTTGTATGCCACAACACACAAAGGAGATGGATTTTCAGCCAGAGAGAAGTTGGCTACCATCTTGGGCACAGTGGCACAGACCAACATGAGGTCCATGAGGGAGAGGTGACTGAGGAAGAAGTACATGGGTGTACGAGGATCAATGTAGATGAGGAAGATGAGGAGGGCATTGCCACAGAGGGCAACTGTGGAGACCACCATAACCACAGAGAACAGGGCAAGATCAGTGTGGCTATGAGAAAAGATTCCCAAGAGGATGAAGCCATCTATAGATCTCATGGATCAGTTGTTCCCAGTCACCTGAGAACATGGACAGAGAAATTCTAAGATTGAGTGACATGTCTTTATTTATCTCTGGATTATTATTCTTCAGTCTTCTGTATCTTTTGTAATTTATTAGAGCACAACAATATATGCCTAGGGACACACAAGAGTATATTCTTTCATTTTTCCCATGACACAGATGATAGGATCTTTGCTAGCTCATAGAATTGAACCATTTATCTACATTTGTACATATTCATACCAAGAAGAATAGAAACTGAATTATTTTATGTGTCACAGGACTGTTGGACAATCCTTCAATAGGCAAAACATTGGCTTTCCCATATGGCACTGACTCTTTTTAGCTGGGATTAAATGGACTCAGTAAACTATCTCTAGCAGGACTTGGACCATTTCATCCCCAAGAGATAATTCATATATGTTACAATAAAGGAAGGTAATGGAGACTTGAGATGTTCTTTATTTTGCTTAGGCCAAATACCTTGAAATCATTTTTTAATTCCTCTATGTCTTTTATTCCCTAGATCCAAACCATCAGTAAAGCCTCTTGGCTATACATTCAGAATACCTCAGAATCCAATGAATGCTTATGCCCACTGCAACTGCCCTGGTCCAAGCCACCATCTTCTCTCAGATGGACTATTGTAGGCTTCTATCCAGTCTCTTGACATCTATCCTTGAATCCCTTGAGTCTGTTCTCATAACTATTCAAATGAGTCTGCTTAAAATGTAAGTCATATGATGTAATTCTCTTGCTGAAAGTAACTCAGTGGCTCCCCAAATTATTCCAAATAAAGCCCAAATCCTTGCAGTGGCACACAAGGCCCTACATGATACACCCACACAGACACAGACACACACACACACACACACACACACTCGTATACACCGATACCTCTGACCTCATCTCCTACTGTGTCCCCTTCGCTCACCGCTTCCTTGAATTTCCTTGGACAAATTGGACAGACACCCACCTTTGGATCTTTGCATTTTCTTCTCTTTGGAATGCTCTTTCCTCAGATTTCTGTCTCTCATCTGCTTCAGATATTTATTCAAATGCCAAGCTCTTTAGAGATGGCTTCTCTGAAAGTCACTGAAGTTATAAACATCTTGCATCTTCAAGCCCTCCCCTGCTCTTGGTTTCTCCACAGCACTTATACCATTTCACACACACATGCTTACATTTTTAAACTTTTATGGTCTGCCTCATCCCACTGGAATAAGAGCACCATTTATTATTCACCGTGACATTGGCAGCCCCTAGAAAGGTGGCCTAGTTCATAGTATAACCTTCAGTACGTAAGTGTGGATTGAATAAAATAATCATGATGAAGTAATACATGGCTGCCGCTTCCATTTTCTCAAAGTAGAGAGACTCCCCCTTTAATTGATGGAGCCCTTGTTCTTGACCTCAATATACTAGTTCACTGTTATATTTCTTCCTCTGAGGGATAGTGAGTGATATAGTAAGAACAATATTGAGGTGTTTAAAAAAAAAACAGGACTTCTCTGCAAATGGATGATAGTGGCATCCAGGTGACATTTGTTTGGGGTGTATTCATGTCTACCTTACCTCCTTGCAAAGAGAAAACAAATCAACCCCACAGAACACACTCTTTGTGTGAAGAAACAGAGTAATTTCAAAAACTAGGATAGGCCTGCCCAGATCCACCACCAGGGAGGCAGGCTCTGTGAGCTGAGATCTTACAGAATGGAGCACATCCTGACTCATGCCCAAAAAAGACATGCGCAGGTGTCTTTGCCAACAACAACACAAAGGTGTGATGTTGAAGCTAGTGGGGAGGTCCTACAGGAGCAAATCACTGTTCCTACAGCCTTCAAATACCATCTTGGCCATATTAGCCCCAGACTAAACCAATCAACTGAACCAACCAGGTCCCATAGACCTCACACCAGAAATTCCTCCTCTTGTGCTAAGGACGTACTGTGTGCAGAATCATTCAGCTACATGCACCTTCAAAGACATGCACTCTACACGTCCTCTTCTCCCCCCCACAACCCCCTACCACCTTATACTACAATATCATAGAGTTGATTAATGACATTTAAACTCCTTTGAATTCTAATTTTTTTTTTTTTTTTTTTTTGTGGTACGTGGGCCTCTCACTGTTGTGGCCTCTCCCGTTGCGGAGCACAGGCTAGAGACGCGCAGGCTCAGCGGCCATGGCTCATGGGCCCAGACGCTCCGCGGCATGTGGGATCTTCCCGGACCAGGGCACGAACCCATGTCCCCTGCATCGGCAGGCGGACTCCCAACCACTGTGCCACCAGGGAAGCCCTGAATTCTAATTCTTATACTCATCACCTCCACTTGGATGTGCAATGGGCTTATGCTACCAAATAGAGTCCTTGGTCTCCTCTGGAGAAACATCTGGTCTAACCTTCTTCCCAGGTAAATTAAGGGCAGGTCTGTCCAGCTTCCAAGGGTACAACACATGGGTCACATTGAACCTCTCCTTCCCTCACACATCCCAACATCATAAATCCCTGCTGGTTCTTCCTGCAAAATGTATGTAACCCTGACCACTTCACAATCTTGCCCATCTCACCTGGCCACACTGTCATCACCGCTCCCCTGGTTGATGGTGGCCCCTAACTGAATTTGCCTCATCATTCATTCCATCCTTGCCCCCATCCCAGTCTCTTTGCACACAACACTAAAGTGAACCCACCTCTCTAAGAAGATGGGTTCTTGAAGCAGAATAAAGGAATGCTTTTATCAGCAGAACTTCCATCACCACCCAGACCTCCTTTCCTTCTGCTCTCCCCAGTATTCCCATGACTCTCGTCTCACCAGCACCCTGTGTTTCCTCCCACACCAGCCTCGGAGGCCTTGGTCCTTGTTCTTGACTACTCATGGAAATCTCTTCCCACATATGCTCCACCTGGTCCACTCACCTCCTAACTAACTTTCTCAGCCAGGGCTTCCTCACACCTATTTGGAGTTGAAATCCCTCTTCCCTCCCCATTCATTCCCTGCCTTATGTTTCTCTTAGCATTCAACACCATTGGGCATGCTACATTTAATTCGTATGAATTTGTTTTCTGCTTTCCAACTAGAACCTATATCCCCCGATGCCACTTTTTCTCATGGGAGGATCCCCGGCTCTTAGAGCAGTGACTGGCATGTATTATGTGCTCAGTAAATACTGTCAGATGATTGATTGTATGCAAACAACTCAAGAAACTATTCTAGCAACTCACATATTCATTTCCTGCTCATTAACTTCATTCCTTTCTGCTGACTAGTTAATGGCTGCATTTTTCTTCTGAGAAATGACACCATAAAGAAGCCACCTTGTATCTAAAATATACTTTGGGGGACAAGCTGACTCTATGTCACATATCAGCCCTCTCCTTCCTGCCCCTTTACCTCCATGTCTCCCCACTCATCCTTTTTCCTCCTGTTAACCACTCTTCAACCCAGGAACCCAACACTATGGCCCCCAATCCAAAATGAGGGAAAGAGGAAAGAAAAAGGTCAATGATACATTTTCTTTCTTTAGGAAGAAAAACAGAGAAATAGATCAAATGAAAAGGACTAGAAGAAAGAAAGGAAAGACAAAGACAAATAACACTAAAAGGTATGTGCCCTCCACCTACTCCAAAAAAAAAAAAAAAAAAAAGCTGAAAGAGGCAGACAACAACAGGAAGAAGAAATGCTGATAATTTTTTTAACATCTTTATTGGAGTATAATTGCTTTACAATGGTGTGTTACTTTCTGCTGTATAACAAAGTGAATCAGCTATACATATACATACATCCCCATATCTCCTCCATCTTGCATCTCCCTCCCACCTTCCCTATCCCACCCCTCTAGGTGGTCACAAAGCACCGAGCTGATCTCCCTGTGCTATGTGGCTGCTTCCCACTAGTATCTATTTTACATTTGGTAGTGTAAATATGTCCATGCCATTCTCTCATTTCGCCCCAGCTTACCCTTCCCCCTGCCCATGTCCTCAAGTCCATTCTCTATGTCTGTGTCTTTATTCCTGTCCTGCCCCTAGGTTCTTCAGAACTTTTTTTTTTTTTTAGATTCCATATATATGTGTTAGCATATGGTATTTATTTTTCTCTTTCTGGATTACTTCACTCTGCATGACAGCCTCTAGGTCCATCCACCTCGCTACAAATAACTCAATTTCATTTCTTTTTATGACAGAGTAATATTCCATTGTATATATGTGACACATCTTCTTTATCCATTCATCTGTCGATGGACACTTAGGTTGCTTCCATGTCCTGGCTATTGTAAATAGAGCTGCAATGAACATTGTGGTACATGACTCTTTTTGCATCATGGTTTTCTCAGGGTATATGCCCAGTAGTGGGATTGCTGGGTCATATGGTAGTTCTAGTTTTAGTTTTTTAAGGAACCTCCACACTGTTCTCCATAGTGGCTCTATCAATTTACATTCCTACCAACAGTAGAAATGCTGATAATTAAATATAAATGCGAAATGACCAGCAACTAGTAATAGATGCAGCAAGGAGGAGAGAAGGGGGTGACAGGAAATGACCCTCACTCACCTTCAAGTGGGTTCCCTGAAGGAAAACCAATTCAGCAGATACCCTGTGGAGGAGATTCCAGCATTAAAATCATTTCTTCATCCTTCCATGTGTTTGCACGTACTGGGTCAGAGGGGTCAGGGAGGAGCCCCCCAGCTCTGAACTCCTTCCTCAGCTCCCACCAACCTCTCAGCCCAGCTGTGGGTGTCCACGTCACCCTCAGCCTCCCTGTGACTCTCTAGCTCAGACAGTGGGCCTCAGACAGACAACAGCCTCCTCTCAGCAAAAGGGGTGTGGAGAAAGTGAACTTAGTCAAGGAGACGGTGGTGGGCAGATGGGGACAGAGCCAGGACCCGTGTATCTGAGCCCACTCCCTGATTCCCGTCCACCTTCCACGGGCTGCCTCCCAGCCTGGGCTGCAGAACTGTCTCCCGCTGCCCATGCACGTGCTTAACACTGAACC